AAGTGCACGGGATTATGGTGATGGCACACGGGTGACATGGTGATGGGAAACCCGCGGGGATTACAATTGAGATGGAAAAAAAAATGTACAAAATGAAAAAGAATTGCTCACTAAAATATCAAAATAATGACATAAAGACATTAAAACACCTTGTTGACTAGTATGGCTAAGTGTCTACTTCTACAAGCTCTACAATACACATATCAATCTTATACATAGCTGCAGAAAAACTGCTGCTTACTTAAAGGTAATTTGTTCACTTAATTTCTGTTTCCTGAGAAAGGTCAACATCTAGTTATATCAACAGCCAAAATGTTAGGTGGATATATATTTTGAACCACTTATAAAAATAGATATAAAATTAAAAAAAAAATCTGCCTAATAGCCTAACTGGAAAACTAAGAAACCAATTGTGTATATGAATTGAGAAGGGTAAAGAAAGGCTTAAAAACACTCGTCAACAGATATAATCAACACATTTAACTAGCTATAGTTAGCTATATTATAAATACAGTTAAATATATGACCATATATAAGATGTAATTAGCATCGTCACATAGTTTTAAATATTAGTGAACAAACAAAAATCCTGTAACCCCTCAGTCTGTCATCAAGATTATAATGGTAACATTAGAATTTTGTTTTAGCTTAAGTCAATCATGGACTCAAATTTGTTTAAACTTATAATGTGAAAATGGAGTAACCGTGGGCCTCCCTGGTAATGTAGGGGTTAAAGTATATCAAACTATAGCAAGCTACCACAGAATGAATTTGAAGTCAGGCCAGGGAGCTGATCCATACTGTGCAGCAAACCTCTCCAGTCTCTCACGCTGTTCCCCTCAGCAGTGTATTACAGTAGATCTGCCTGTTCTGCTCCTCACTGTCTCTAGGGAATCCTCTCACACTCTGTACCTCTGACCTATAACCCAGTTCATGTATGCATAAATAAATAAAGAAAATAGAGTAACTAAATGATGTGATTCTTAGCTTTAAAGTGAATGAAAATTCAGAATATGACTAAAGAAAGACTGAAGCTGATATATAACTTCTAGTTAATGTTATGTATTAACATAAATGCAAGGTTCATTATTACATGTGTTTGACTGTCCTACAAAATAAGTTTTATCTGCCTTAAGGTAACCAATGAATATAGAAAACTATTAGAAACAGATTCTAAAACCACTGCTAAATGCTATCTTGTTTTCCCAAACTCAAAGAGATTTCAATATGGAAGGAAAACAGAGAATCCTTCAACTGAATTTTTAGTTCTCACGCTAGCAAATAATGGCAGAATCCTGCTATTTCTAAAGCAGGAAAAAACAAACAAAAAAACCTACCTATTAGAAATGGTAGGAGAGAAATGATAAGGGTTCTGAGGGAAGATTGAATTTGCACCAAGAAATGTTAAAAAGTCATGTAAAGGACAGCCACTCCATAAAAGGAACAGTAATCACCCCTCAGCTCAAAGAAAAAGAAAAATAAAGGAGAGAAAATGCTTTAAGATAAAAATCTTCTAACTTCAGTAGCGTGAAAAGAGACCTTTCTTGCAGAGGGTATCATGGAATAAATCCTGAACCCAGTTATAACCTAGATTTCTATTCTGGAATCTTTCTTCAAAGTATTAAAGTGACTGATAGCATATTCAATAACTTGCTATTTTAAATAAAACAAAGATACACTGAAATGCATCTGTATGTAATAAAACAAAATACTTGGCAGTCTATAATAATTTTAAGTTCAGAAAATGATTTTTTTTTTATACTACAGAGCCACACAAAAAAAGCTCACCTGAGGGCCTTCCCTGGTGGCGCAGCGGGTTAATGCACTGCAAAAGAAGCTTAAGCCACTTCTGCATGAGTTCGATTTCCGCCTACCCCGGAGGAGTTCCACGTGGTGTGGCAGACCTCTCCTGACCCGCCCACTCCGCTGCTCCCCTCAGCAGTGTACTTAGTTGATCTGCCTATTCTGCTCCCCACTCTGTCCCTGGTGAATTCTCTTACCCTCCACATCTCTGGCCTGTACCCCAGGTCTGTATGAATAAATAAGTAAATCTTTAAAAAAAAAAAAGGCTCACCTGATTTAAATAGTTTCATTTTATGAATTCAGGACTACAGAGAGAGGAAAAAGAGGTGGGAAGGTGGGGAAGAGAGAGAAAGAGCATCAAAAGGAATTAGGTAGAACCTTTCATAAGGGGGCACATGAAAATGAGTTCTGTTATCATACTGTTTAAATGATATGCCTACTCCAACTTATTTTCGAGGTATTAAACAGTAAAATTAAAGGAGATAATGAGTGGAGGAGGAGGAAGAGTGAGAAAATTATACATATAAATTACTTCTATTTGCTTCACTCAGGCTCATTATTAAATCACCAAACTTAATAGAAAAGAAATAGTAGCATCTTTTTATGTTACAATAAGAGAAATTATACAGCAACAGGAACATAAGGGAAATACTTTAAATAGTGATATAGCCCAAGTTAATGCAAGTGGCTTTATAACATAAGTATTCTGTTTCAAAGTTTCATTTTTAATACCATTAAATATTAACTCAAAAGACATTGAACAAGAAATAACTGTTCATACAGTACAGATAAGATTAGAGACAGATAATGCTTCCTACTAAATAAGTGGAAGTACTAAAGGTACTGAAAATAGTTGTTACCATGTAGCAAATACCATATAACAAAAAGCAAATGCATCTCTCAAACAAAAAGAATAATTTTTAATGTCTAGTTAAATGTTTTCTAGCATAGGGTAGTTTAATAATTTTTAGTTGCAGGAATAAAGAAAACATAACATTACATATAAATATATATTAATTTATTTTCAGGTGTTCTTTATACCATGATATAAAATTAGGTTTTCATAAAATCATCAAAATAATGACTTTAAATAACTGATGTCTATGTGTATGGTTGTAGACCATGTAATACTGAGAAGAAAATAGTCACATATAAAGTTAAAATGCTTAGAAATACTAAAAGGAAATATATTAAAAGCTTAATAGTGATTAACTGCAAGAGAACATTTATTTTGGGTAATTTTTACTTACCTCTTTTATTATCTATATGTGTGTGTGTACAAACACTTGAGTATATATGTGTGTATCTATATGTATATCTGTAACTATTTTAAAGAAAGCTTCATATAAATATACATTATATGAAATTCAAAACTATTTTCTATGAATAGGTCTAAGAAAAACATAAGATAAACTTACCATCACATGAAAGGGAAACATAGCTTCCTAAATCATCAGACATGTGACGCATCACATTTCTACCCATCTTGAGACCAAGGAAGATCCAATAATCTATTGCTGCTCCAAGAATTCCAGTCAATAAGTAAGCTAGTTCATGTTTGAAGACCTAAAATTAAGATGGGAAAAAAAAATACTAAAATATATTAAAATTGTAGAGTTTAACTTTGGGAAATAAAAGAGTAAGTGTGGGAAGTGAGAACTGCCAGAGCAGTTCATACCCACTCCCAGAGAGAGCAAAGTTGATTGCTATATATTTGGTCACGGGGATTGAGGTGAGAGTACAGTGGTCAGCCAGAGAGATGGGGCAGATAAAGCTCAGAAAGGTGTGATCTGTGCCACTGATTTCCTGAGAATGGGAGGACAGGGGGACCAACTGGATATAGTGAAGTTGCATTCATAGGTGCCAGGGCTGCACCAATGGCCCAGCCCACAGACAGCAGACAGGCCTGAAGCTCAGAAAGGAAGACTAGCAGGGTTGACAAAGGCATGAGCAAAGTCCATGTATAGGCTCTGGAACCTTGATATCATTCATTAGAAACCCCTATAGACTATTTCTCCCTTCCACACAATGTTTCTTCTGTAAAAGTAGACAAGCTATACCCTTAATATTCAGAAAGTAAATAATGAGGAGCCAAAAAAAAAAAAAACAAAAAACAAAAAAAACATAGCAAAACACTGAAGAAATATTAACCTGAGTCCTCAAGGGAATGATATGCCACAGAATGAGAACAAATCTCCAGAAGTCATCCACAAAGATATGTAAAAGCTAGTTATAGAAGTCAAAATTGCTCTGATAAAGAAATTCAAATAAGTGGAAGAAAACAGAGAAAAACTAATGAAAGCTATATAAAAAATTCAAAAAACAAATGAATATCCTGAGAAATAAAAGTAGCAAACAGAAGATCAAAATCGAAGCTTCAAAGTAGAAAATAATGGAGATGCAGGATGTAGGAAGATCCACAGTGCAAATAAAACCTTCTGGAGAAAGCTATGGAAGTATAATAGCTAAACATCCAATAGCAGGATGATTAAAATAACAATGAAGATGATAATTCATAAAGAAAGCAGGTAGAAGAAGGAAGGGAGAAACTAAGAATTATCTGATGACATGAGGAAAGCAATATAATACTGGGTATTCCAGCATGTTAAGAAAGAGAAGGAAACAGAAACTGCCTAAAGGAATAATAGAGAAAATTTCCTAACCCTGGAAAAGGAAGCAATTTCCTAAGTACGTTACTAGAACTCAGCCACCTCAGCAGTGGGAACCAGTAGTAACTGGTGTTCTTTCACCCTGATGTTTCACGAAAAGCAGTTGTGGCAGTTGCTCCTCAGAGACCTTTTATGTAACAAGCTACTAACTTCCTGGATCATAGAATGGTCCAAACAAGTGCAAGCTATGAATGGTGCTAGATGAGCCAATCAATCATAGGATTGAAAAATGGTCTAATGAGAGGATATAAGCCAGGGTGGGAGGAAGCTGAGGACAGACGATGCCAGCATCCATTCCTGGACTCTAAAGAAAGAAGAAAAGAAGCGTCTAGTAGCTAATCTCCAAGGAGAGAAGAAAAGCCTAAGACCACAATCAGAGATTGGTCCTCTGGTCCTGTTTGTCATTGAGATAACCCAACAAAGAGCTGTTAATACAGGTGTCTCTGACACTACCTCTGAGGGACCAGTAGTGACCATCACTACTGGCAAGTGCTATCTAGCACTCCTGGTAACTGGTGGTGACCATCACTGATGCTATCTGGGTGAGAAAGCTGGCCACTAGTGGATACAGTAAGCTCTTTTGTTTCCTTGTTTGTAAAATAAACTGAATGGTTTAGAAAAAAGGGTTGGTAAAGAACCGATTTCCTAAATGAAGACAGGGGCAGCCTGACTTTGATCTGAAAAAACAGTTTTCCATCTAGAAAAAGTAATAAGAAACAAGGATGTATATTATATAATGATTAAGTGAACAACATATCAGTTAGACATAATTATACTCATCAATATATATGCAACAAACTAAAGAATATCAAAATATATAAGACAGGTATTAGTAAATCTGAGAATGAACATTGGGAAGACACATTTGTGGCAAGGGAATTCAACACCCCCTTTCATCAACAGACAGATCAACCAAACAGAAAACAAATGAGGATACAATAGCCTTGAATAAAGTATTAGACACATTAAACACATGGGTGTAGGGGACATTTATAAGACAATGGACCCCCCAAAATTGGAATATACCTTTTTCTGACATTCTTCAGAACTGACCACATGTTAGATCAAAAGCCAGGTGTCAGCAAATTTATGAGAATTTAAATTATACCAGGTATCCTCTCTAACTATAAAGGTACCATATCAAAACTAGAAAGCAACAACATAAAGAAAGCATGAAAAAATTTAAATGCATGAAAAAAAACAACACCTAAATTCTAATATGTGGAGACTGAATGACTATTTGGCTAATGAAAAATCAAATAAGAGTTAAAAAACACCTATAAAACAAATGACAATTAGGACACACAACCTTAGAACTTATGGCACATAGCAAAAGCTACATTCTCAGTTCTAGGTACTAAGAAGGTAGTAAACAACACAGGACCACATCAAGAAACAAGTAAGACCTTAAATAAGTAATCTTATCTCTTACCTTAAGGACCTAGAAAAATAATAAAACCAAAAGCCAGTAGAAGAAAGGAAATGATAAACATTAAAGCAGAAATAAATGAAACAGAAATCAAAGACAGTGACAAAGATCAATGAAACCAAAAACTGGTTCTTTGAAAAAATAAACAAGTCAGACAAATCTCTAGTTAGGCTCAAAAAGAAAGGGAGAAAACTTAAATATATAGTATAAGAAAGGAGAAATTGTTACAATGAGTATCTTAGCTACTATGAAAAGATTATAAAAGATTATCATACACATTTGTATGCCAATAAGATGAGTCACATTTACTAGATGGACAAATTATTAAAATAAAAGGAAATCCAAGACTAAAAAGGGAGGAAATAGAAAACCTGAAATGACGAATTTTAAGCAAGAAAAATAAAACAGTAATAAGTATACATAAAAAAAAAAAAAAAGGAAAAAAGCCTAGGACAAAATGAGCTTTACCAAATCTTTTAATATAAACAAATATATATCCCCTTATGTAGAATATGGGAAAACTGGAGAAAAGGTCAGATAAATTCAATCTAACACAAATTCTGGAAATTTGAGTATATAACTGAGGCTCCCGTAGGAAAGAGTTAAAGGGTGGGACAAGAACAAAGTAGAAACACAATGAACTAAGGGGATGAACTGTGGATGTGGTTAGTAATAACAACAATTGAAGGGGAAATCCTGTATGTCTGAAACACAATGATGTTAAACAATATTTCCTCAAAAAAAAAAAAAAAGATTAAAAGATATGAATACTGTTATATTATCACTTCTATAATATCATATTTCCATAAAAATATAATAACAAGGCATACAAATCTTACTGTGTATGTTTTGCCCTAGTGTTTAAAAATGTCTTTCTAATCCTAAACTATGAAGATAAAGAAGTGTGAAAATAATATTTTTAAACACCTTTGATTTAAATATAAACACTTTTTCACAGTATTAACACTAGTTGAAATGCTTATATTTTTTGTATTTGTTGTCTATGAGTGTTAGATGCGTGAAAAAATCACTGAATAAACAGTTGGGTAAAAGGCATGTGAAAAAGTTTTAATAATGTTATGATATCCAAACTGATGGTAGCTGTTATACTCTGCAACCATACTATGCCTAAAATGGAACTGGTGATAGAAATCTCTAACACTTCAAACCCTCAAGAGACTACTGGACTTATTTCTATTACCTTAGCAGACAATATCCTTGTAGGTATACATTTCATTCGGCCATTATTTCTTATCTTAAGAAGCTATTATTAATAAATGATTTCAAAACAGAACTTCTGTTTCTAGTTTGGGATGTAAACAAGGCCTAATGGTCAAGAAGCATACACATTAGTCCTGCAAAATACTACCTAGTGAAGGAAAAACTAGAGTTGGAAAAAGTAGCAGTAACACAGGTACCCTGTTCCCTATCACACTCTGGAGTAGCACACTGGTTCTGACGAGGCTGGGCATCAGAATCTAGGACAGAGAATAAAGATTGTCACTGAGGAGATTTTTTGTTATATAATTAAGGAAAACCTGTTTTCCTCTGATATTATTTGGGGCCACAAATCAAAACCTTGACTATAACCTGATGAGTGTTCATGGGTGGGTGTAAGTCCCACTTCCCTCTCCAGTCTCAGTGAAGTCTAGGTTAAAGTCTGGCAGTTGCAGTGTTATGGTATGGAGACTGGCCCTACCAGCTGCATGTGAAACTACTATACTTCCCTTGGTAGGTTACGAGGCGCTAAGATCTAATCTTTACTGTTGGTGAGAATGGATCCCTTAAGCACTGGCCTAAACCAGTCTTCAAAGAACTTTGCAGGAAGCCAACTTCATTCCTAGTAAAGTTAACATGTAGATAATCACTCAGGACAACTTAACATGTACTTCTTATGTGTTATCAAAAGAACATAAACTACTGGCTGACGGATCATGTCAAGATTCAAGGACTCAATATTCTTCCAACATAAGGTGTACCTGAATATTAGCAATGACACTACTTGGAAAGGAAGAGACTTCTTAAAATTATTCTCCATCTCAAGGGTATAGAAAATAAGGATCACTTCAGACCCTTCTTAAAACTCAGATAGGAAAATGAGTAAGCCTTATATAAAAACACAATCCAGCCCTCCATCAATTAAAAGTAACATCAAATTACCCAGTTAGGAGTTCCTGTTTTCCTTACATAAAGATCTGTTCACAAATTTCCAATACCAAATGTTGCTTAATAATCCTATTACCTTGACATCTCTGTTACTAATTAAAGATGGGTAGAAGTTTTGTAGTGCTTGCAAGTGCTAAGTTGTTTCTTTATCATAAGATCTTATTACAATCATTCTTATCTACAAGTATTAGCAAAACAAACAAACAAAACAACTCCCCCCCGCAACACACCACATAGCCACAATAAAGAATTTTTATAAAAATTTAAAACTCAGGGCCCTCCCTGGTGGCGCAGCGGGTTAAAGTCAGCACTAAGGGGCGGAAGCCACCTTTGCATGAGTTCGATCCCCGCCTGCCCGGGAGGTGACCACATGGCGTGGCAGACCTCTCCTGACCCGCCCGCTGCTCCCCTCAGCAGTGCACTTCTCAGTCGGCCTGTTCTGCTCCCCACTCTGTCTGGCGAAGCCTCTCACCGCCCCTGCACCTCTGGCCTGTATCCCAGTTCTGTATGCACAAATAAATAAATCTTTAAAAAAAAAAACATTTAAAACTCAGTCTCTTGGATCTTTAGACTATATATATTCTTAATTATGAAATTCTCTATAACTATGGGGATAAGATAGTACAGTATGGATTGTACTCACTGAAATTTTAACAGTAATATTTCTAGCACGAGGATATTATGTTTAAAAATACAGTAGCTGAGAAATCGCAAATAAGCCATCAAAGGAGAAAAGTTTTCTTGTAATACTGAAATGTTTACTAAACTTGGAAGAATGGAATATGAATACCCTAAGGATTAACAAAGAAATGACAGACATGATTTATATGGCTACATTTAGTTAACATAGTTCTCTATTATCGGTCAGCATAGTAATCCTCAGCTTATAAACTGATTTACAATTTTTCTTATAAGAACTGACTAGCATTAACATGGAACTACATCTGACCATCTAATTTCTAAGTTAGGACTTTGCAGAATATCCGATTACAAAAGATACCAAACTGCTGCTCTAAGTATCTTAATCTGGAAGATGCAAACAAAAATTCACATACTGTGTTTTTTCTTGTTTTAAACACTGGTATTTGAAACAAAAGAAAGGACGTTGGGATGGAGACTTGGCCTCTAGTCAACGTTTTACCCTAACAAACTGTGACACCTTGAATGAGTTAATTTCTTCAGCCTCAATTTCCTTATTTTAAATACAAACCAGCTTCCATTTCTACCTATAATTATAGGGTTATTGTTAAATAGTACTTAAGAACATTACAAAGAAAAGTAGGACTAACTACCAAGCTTAGTAAAATCTGTACCTCCCTTCCATAACCTTGACACAGCCCACCTCTGCTCTTTGCCAAGGAAAGCCCAAGCTTTCTCAGATTAATGACAATGAAATTCACTGCCATTGTGTCACTCTGCAATACATGCTGATTGACATTATGACAAAACAATATTAGCATAAATCGAGGACTTCTGTTTAGCTAATGACTTAAATTGAATGCTTCAACTCAGCAAATCAAGAAACAAATGCTTTACAGTACAGAAAATGATGTCTGTGAACATGCATGGAATTCTTGAAATTGGAAACTGCCAAAAAGATTTAATTAAGTACAAGAATGAATTTTAACAAATAAATTAACACAATAAAAAAGTTTATATGAATTTAAGCAATTCAAATGTTAAATAAAATATTAATTTGCAAAGTTTAAACCAGTTTTCATATTACAACTGATGCTATAATTTATTGTAGATTGCTTCACAAATATGATGAATTTATTTATAAATCTGAACAAAATTTTTCAAGTTGAGTATGTATAAATCTGCTACTATTTACGTCAGTATTTCCTGAATAAGTTCTGTGGTAATCCTTTTGTGATTTAGTGCAATTGTAGAAATGTTATTTTTATTATTGTTTTCAGTTACAAATGAGCAATTTCACTTATATATGAAGTGAATAAAAAGAAATATTTCATAATGAGTTAATATTTCTATCCTTAATAATCATATAACGTACATACAAGGTAGACAGCGTTAATAAGGTTGTCATCCGATTTAGCACAGAGCACTATAGTCAGCTGACAAAAAGTATAGATAGTTCAATTTATGCTGAATATTTTCAAATCATAAACATTTATATAATCTTACTTCTTTTTTAAACACATACATGTATAAGGCAGTGCCTAATTACCTGGTTATTGCTACATAATAGAATTACTTGATCACAAAGAAATGTAGCTGTGCAGGAACAACCCTCTCATTTTAAAGCCAACTGAAAAAATTGGGCCCTCAAAAGAATTTTCTTTAAGAAACACCTAAACAGAATTTCTAAAAATCAGTAATGACTTCTGTTTCTGACAATGGAGGCCTAGATAATTTGGATAAATTCTCTTAGAAATCCTCAAAATGTTAAATGAACTATATGAAACATTCTGAAAAGTTATGAGGAATTGCTAGGCACAGATCTAGAAAGTAAAAGTCAAGTAAAGCACCCAAAGCTAGCTGACTTTGCCTTATGGCCATCTGCTGACCTCAGAGACAGATGTGAATCATATTTGGAGTCTAGGAGAAAAGGAGCATAAAAGTTGTAGCTTAAGGTCGTCCAACACTGAATATGGTGAGATCCTAAAGGGCTTTACTGTCAGAACAAAGTGAATCAGAATCAAAACTATATATATTTGTGGCTCGGTACTTCATATGTACTATGCAGGAATCTTCAAGTGTAAACACTGGGGGGTCTTTCACAGTACACTCAAAAAAACTTGCAAAAGTACTAGATGAAATGTTTACAGACTATTGTTTTAAGCAATACCAAATTAAATAATCCTTCCAAAAGACAGAGGAGTAATATATTGCACTGACTACATTTTGTATTATACATGTTGATTTATAATGAAACACTAAGACCTTTATAATGTTATGATACAATGTTACTTCAATAAAAAATTCAAAAAAAGAAAACCTCTGAAATGACTAAAATTGAACTAAAAAGGCAATTTGTCTTGAGTGTATTAAAAAGATTAAAAAAAAAACACAAAACTCCAACATCCAAGAAAGTAGAAGTAAAAGGAAATATGTCCATAATCAGAAAAGAAATATTATAACAAAAAAGTAGACAAAAAAATCTTTTTAAAAGGAAAAAAAATGATTAATGTTAATTATGCAGCCAAAATGGTGCAGATTGCAGGTTTCGGTAGCATAGTGGTTGTAACGGTTGTCTAACATTTCTCACATTTTACTGCATTTAAATTTCCCAACAAAGCAATAAAACCACTATATATTAAATTTATTATGACAACTAAAATGTACTTTGAAGAAATAGGTCAGGTAGTACCTTATAACATCTAGAAAGATGATTTTAAAAGCTGGTACAACTTTTTATTAGTAGTATACAAAAAAATTATTTGGATTCATTTATTTTTTTAAATCACAGGTTCCTTATAAATTGAAATGTAAAAAGGTAAAAAAAAAATCTAGAAGTATAGATTTCTGTCCTTAGTGACCATATACAAATCTGAGATGGTGAGACATCAGTTTTGAAGGTCCCATTACCTTGAAACTAGATAAACTAAAAGAAAACTTTGATCATATTTTTTTCTATTTATTCAAATAAAGGGAAGAAAAAATAAGTCTAGTTCAAAGATATACTGTAATATATAAAAGGCTATTAACCACTTATTAATTCTACTTACATCATTAGACTTGCTTTTTTCCTTGTGGGAATATATAGTCCAATCCAAAAGCATGTTTACTGGTTTGGTCAAAAGTCCAGACGTCTCACTTCCAGACCAAAAGATTTCAAGCACAACTGCCTTTCCTGTTATTTTCAAACTCTGAGAATCTGACCAGTCACACAACCTAATAAAAATATGAACGAAAAAAAGTATCTTTTTGACATTTTAGCATTACAGTTACCAGGCACAGTATCTTTTGTCATTAAAAGAAAACTCTAGCAATTTCTTAATACAGAAAGACTATAAAGTATAGAGATTTTAATTTATAATAGGGAATAAAATACAAAATATGGTCTCATTTTAACCAACGAGTATACACAGTGATAGTTAGAACATAGGCAAAACTTATCTTGAACATTATAGATTCAGGGTAAAACATTGTGCAGCTTTTTACTTAAGTATTCAATAACAAAGGGATGCTGAAAAACAAACATCTATATGAAAGTGCAAGTTAGTGAAATATAAAAAAAATGTAAACAAGGAGAAAAGGGTATACAAATTTTCACTGCCACAGATAAATTGTGTAAAGAAATGTATTTTTACAACAAATCTACATTAAAATAGAAAACAAAGTAAGTTTTATAGAAATACATATACTAATTAAAACTTACTTTTGAGTTAGGTGTCTCACTTCACTTTCAACTAAATTAAAGAAAAATTTGAGCAGGGTCAGGTGGAACATTTTAGAGTCAATATTTTCTGAAATTTGATGACAAAAACTTTCATTGAAAAGACAAGATCTGCAAAACATGACACAAAATCATGAAGTACAAGCAATTTATTCAGTAACCTGTAGACAAATCATCTCTTTTTAAAAAAGCATTTGTTGGGATTTTAATGAAATTGCTTCCATAAAACCTAAAGCAAATTTAACGAAGTTGTACTATATATATATATATATTATTCCTTTATAAATTACACTGTGTTAAGTATCTCTTGATACTCTTTTCAGTAATACAGATTTTTAAAAAATATTTATTTATTTATGCATAAAGAAATGGGGTACAAGCCAGAGGTGCAGGGGCAGTGAGAGGATTCACCAGAGTGGGGAGCAGAACAGGCAGATCAACAAAGTACAGTAGTGGGTGGGTAAGGAGAGGTCTGTCTTGCTATGTGGATCACCTCCGGGGCCAGGAATCGAACTTGCACTAAAGTGGCTGCGGCTAGTTTGCAGTGCTGCGTCCTTACCCTATGCACCACAGGGAGGGCCATAATACAAATCAAACTCACTTTCTAAAATAATTATAATGTTTAAGACTATATCTCTGTATACTCTATTTTATTGATAAAGAACAAAAGATTATGAATGTCATTAACTTGTTGTGACTCAAATGATCAACAATACTTTTTAATTTATATTTCCCATAATCCTCCTTTTACTCCATAGGTATGTTTACTGGTAATATAACGGATATGTTTATTGGTGATATGACATGTGCAACTAAGGAACTGAATTTTTAAATATTTTAACTATCCCAGTTAAATTTAAATATCATATATGGCAAGTAGCTACTGAGTTGGACAACACAGCTTTACAGTATATTTTTGCGAGAACAAAAGATAATTCAGAATCCTAGAACTAAAACACAGTTTAAGAAACAATATTACAATCTTCAAATTCTGTTATCAATTATATCAACAGTGTAATAGTTACTTTTCTACTACCATTCTTGTCTTTTTTTACTGAGTCTCAGTCTTAAGAAGGCCCATAATAGCTGTTAAATTTAGCAATTCATTAATACATGAATCTATCATAGAATATCCTCCATGCCCTTATACTTATTCAGACTATCAAGATGCAAAATACAGTACCTTTATTACTTTTAAATGTATATAATGGAATATGTGAATTATATCAAAAGTAGACTAAGCATCTACCCCTTTGCTCTCAATGAATCTATCTTGAAATAAAATCTGGGTACTGTTTATTTAAAATTTTACTTTCAAGGTGTAAAATCCATCTCTGATAGCATTAACTAATGCATTCGAAATTATTAAGCATGTATATTGTTCCAGTCATTACATTTGCACTGAGGATGGAGATGACCGAGAATTAGTCCTAAGAAAATCAGAGGCTGATGTGAGTGAGAAAATGAACTCAAAAAGGTCAGGAGTTAGGGTGTGGGATATGAATTGCATTTTAAAGGATAATTAGAAGTTGGTCTGATATTTGAGGGGTGGCAGGAATAAAGGGATATGTAGGCAGAGAAAACATAAAGCAAAGGGATAGTAAAAGAAAAAAGTTCAGAAAATGAAGAAGGAATGGTAACATACAGGGACTAGATTATAAGGGGTCATACATGTTTTGGTAAGGCATTTAAACTGTCTCCTAGAAGTGATATGTGAGAAAATGAAGTACTTTTATCTGGGAAATAGGAAGATCATCGTGGAAAGAACATATTGTGATGTCTTGAAAGATAAAGTAAAAATAACAGGATCCAGATTACTAAAAAAGGCATTACAATTTACATAGAGAAGCTCTGAGGGCTTTAAAATAAAGGCTATTATAGTAAAGGCACATGAAAATTAGGAAGGATATCAGCTACACAAACCAGACATGCTCACATTCTATGGCTGGATTAATCCCGTTGTGTCAGAATATGCTTACATCTTAGTCACCTTCAAAAGGCAGAAACATTTTATTTACCATTTTATCCCGGAAATATATTAGTGTCTGGATCCTAGTAAGAACTCAATAAAAGGTGTTGAAAGACAGCTGACTGGCTTGCTGATTGGCTTGCTTCAAGTATATATCACAACATAACTGTTACTGAATTTTTATGACTCCAAAGAGGTAAACAAAAGGCTAACTTTCACCTCTTTATTCTCTTATTACTATGGGCCTCCTAAAACTGAACACTTCAATAAAAGAAAACATCTTCCCAGACAAAGGAGGCCTGTTGCATACAGAAAACCCTCAAAGAAAGGGAAACATGGCTAATCTGTTTGGGAGAAAGGAGAAATAGGCAGGATTTCTAAAGAGAGAAATATCTAGAAGACAATGAAAGTATCCAGGCAAATGACAACAGATGTATAGACATGAAAGAGTTGACATATTCAAGAAACATTCACATCAGTGTCAAAATTCAAATTTCTAGCTGAAAAAAAAAATTAAGTGGATATTATATACAATTACAATTATCTATTTGGCATTATAGTTACCATATCTTAAATATGCAAATTTATATTTTTATAAATTTATATATATTTTTAAAAAGTAAAAACAATGATTTAGCTTTTTTGAGTCCATTTCATTGAACATTTATTTTTTAACAAACTGGCTAATATGCCAACATAGGTTGGTTAAAATTATGAATTCTTCAATAAATACAACATACAAATATACTATGCACATACAAACTTTCCAAAAAAGTACACTTCTTTCCTTATGACTAAAAATTACACAGCAAAACAACTTGTCAAAATTTAGCGGCCCCATTTGTAGAATTCCTTACCGGATAAGCACTTCTATTAGAGACCATGCTCCTTTCATACAAGTTGGACACTGAAACAATTCTAAGTAATATCTTAACATGGCTGGGGACTTCCAAGGAGGATGCAGGTGAAGAAGAGCTGACAATATATGAAAGTATCGGCCAGAAAACGTATCTAGGTTATTCTGATATTTAAAAAGAAACAAAATAAAATATGATAGTTAAATATACAGTTATACCAGCTAATTCAATCTAAAATTCTGTAATAACCCTGGCTCAGCTTTCTTGCCAAGTATATATATTTAAAGAAAAAGACCAGAAAGAAGTATGTCTAGCTAATTAAATACTGCAACTGAGAGAGGCACATTTGAAACACGCATCTATATATTAGATAATTCTACCTATTGGGCTGACATTTGAAACATAGATTTAACTTTTTATGATTATGGTGAGCCTGCATTCTCAAAATAGGATCTGAAAGAAACTAAAGGTAAAACTTTTCATGCAATATTCTTCCTCGTCACCAAGAGTAGTCTGATACAGCTTTATCTGCTATTTCTTCAAATCAGCACCTTGATGTTCTTTATAAATAGAAAAGCTACCTTTGTAAAAAGTGGTATCTACTGATTTTCACTGGCATATGTTCACTATCTCTATATTCTATGAATAAAAATGATTATTATCAATGCACTAATGGAGTGAATTAACACATGACATGTTTGATCACTGTAACTTAAGTTAGATACTTTATGGTCATAGGGAAAACAGAATAAGACAGCTTTCTCTCAAGAGAAAATCATCTTTGGTAATTCTGAGAAAATAGTAAGTTAAAGCACTCAGAGTAGTACTTAGCATACAATTTAAAACAGAAAATAAGTGGTAATAAATGGGTATCATATTTCCCATTGAGAAAAACTGTAAAAGAGAAAAAAAAAAACTGTAAACATACACAAAAAATGAGAAAGTGTTCACATTCTAACATTATTTGAAAGATTACAAACTCTTAAGACTACTCTCACCTGCATAATGTTCTCTAGAAGAGCATGAAGAAGGCATACAGGAGGGATGTAATGTGCTTGCAAAGAGGAGAGCTCTTCAATCGCTTCTTTAAAAAACTGTCCTTCTATGAGGCTTTCAATTAAGTTTAATACACCTCTGGGAAATTCAGCATTTTTAACCTACAGTAAAAAGTGAAAAATTCTATAACTCAGAAAAAGAAGGTTAAAGTTCTGGGGTCAAATATTCAATCAATAAGGAATTTTAATTTCCTCATCTATAAAATGAAGATGACCCCATCCTTGCTATCTCACAGGGTTGCTACATTGTTGAAGTAGGATGATGCATATGAATATATTTTGTAGCTATAAGGCACTAAAAAAGTATAATTATTGTATTTATTATTTTCTACTGCCTTAAAGGGGAAATATTACCTCTAAATAAAACTTTTAAAGGCATTTGCAAAATCTGCCCTGTAATAAGGAGACCTCAATCACAGCTACAATAAGTGCAAAATAATTCCTTTTTAAAATTATTGTAAACTATGTCTATTAAGATATTAAATAATATTACAAAGTCACAAACAATAGTTGCAAAAAGGAAATTAATATAGTATCATAAAATAACTTCAAGGATACATAATAATATAATAAAAAGTTCTGAAAAATACATACCCCTTGATCAAAATATTTTTAAAAATAACACAAATATAATTATAAACCAGTCGCTAAAAGGCAATATAGAATAGAGCAATCAATTTTAAAGAACAAATGATATAAAGGAAATAATAGTTCTATAATATATCAAATATGTAATGCAGTAGTAGTTATGAAAGCTATGAAATGCATGATGAAAACATAAGGTATTGTTACCAGTTTTCACTTATGTGTAGTTTTTCTGAACTTTGATATGAGAATTTTTCTTTTTCATTTCTTATTTGAGAATCTACATTTCAAATTTGATAGAATTTGAGAAAACTGTATTTCAAATTTGTCATGCAACCAATACATTCCTTTATATCAAAATTACTAAAAGTAATCGGACACAAAGGTTCTCTTTTGCCCCCTTGCCACCCTATTCCACACCTCTTACCTCCACATTGTATACTGGTTGTTTATCTATCCTAATGCAGCTGTATCTGATAGCCTACAAAACAGCAACCATGTGATTACAATGCAAAAATTTTAGGTTGGAAAATATATTTCTGCTTATATAGCATAAAACCTTGTCCAAATTATAAAACAGATTTGATACTAATAGCGATAATTGATCTGGTCATGTATGTTCAAGCATCACTTTAGGGAAAGGTCATGAGTGTGAACATTTTCAATTTTCTCCTTGTAAATTAAAATAACTTAAGAAGTTATTTTAGGTAAAGAGTTATATTAGGTAAAGTTATATTCTCAAGACCTGAAGAGGCCCACTGTCCTTAGCACTTTAATAGGTAGAAATATAAAAGGGAACATTTTGTATAGAAGTCCATAGGAGAAAAAAATGTTCTCTATAGAGTCACATGTAAAATCTTCCTGCAGTGTTTTAAAATACCTGTAATTGTGTGTGTGGAAAACTATTCAGACCAAACATAAAAAAGAGAAAATATCCTGATCACAGGAAAAGTTCCATAAATGCGGACATGCTGACATAAAATGTAATGGAAAACCAGAAAACAATTATGAATAAACAAAGCAGAGCAATTGAAGGTATAAAATATGCTTAATCTGGCAATTAACAAATAAACTTAAAATAATGATATACCACTAGTTTCTTTTTAGGATTTACAAAGCTAGAAAGAAAGGAATTTCCAGATTATGAACCAGGAAAAGGTGAAGAAGCCACCAAATCATACTTTTTCTTGAACTTGTCAGAAAGCAGGTGTTAGTGCAACCAACTAAACTGAACTAAGAAAGACAGGACCTTTAAGGACAAGGCACATGACATGGATGTATCTGAGAATGACCTCAGTCGGAAGAGGAGGCTTCCATTTAAAGTGGGTAAGAAAATTTCAGCTAAAGAATTTTATCACAGGCTAAGGTCCAACGGTGGGCTAGTGTATTAAAATAGAAGCTAAAGATAGAGGGGATTTTTGCACCCTACTGACAGGATATTCTCCACTGACCTTACTGGGTGCTCATAAAGAAGGAGACAGGATGGGGGGAAACTAAAAAAAAAGCCTCTCTGAAGCCTGGAGGAGAACAGGACTATTTTGAGAAAAACAGCAAACCCTGTTCTTCTAGATCACAAGTGAAAACATGTAGCCCATTAGGTAAGGAAACAAGAAAAACGAGACAAAAATCTTCATTCCTCAAAGTGGAGTAGGTCAGTAGGAAATGTCCCAAAGAGGGCAGGGCAAGAATGGTGAAAAAGTCCCACCCCAAAACCGGTGGCCTTACGGTCAGTTAAAAACTAAAGTTGAGGGCCCTCCCTGGTGGCGCAGCGGGTTAAAGCACTGCACTGAGAAGCTAAAGCCACTTCCGCATGAGTTCGATTCCCGCCTGCCCCGGAGGTGACCACATGGTGTGGCAGACCTCTTCTGACCCACCCGCTGCTCCCCTCAGCAGTGTGCTTCGTCGATCTGCCTGTTCTGCTCCCCACTCTGTCTCTGGTGAATCCTCTCACCCTCCGTATCTCTGGCCTGTACCCCAGTTCTGTACAAATAAATAAATAAATATTAAAAAAAAAAAAAAAAAAAACTAAAGTTGAACCCAGACAACAGAAAAGGTGACTTTACAACATCCAATTTAGTAACACCCACAAGCAAATTATAGTAGACTATACATCTGTTTATTTTGTGGCATTAATGAGAAAAAGCAGAGAACTGAACATGTTTACTAAAAGCCCAAATATTTGTATTATGTTCATAACAAATCGAGAAACAGATGATTTTAAGATACTTTCATATAATAATTATTATCATTGTTAGTAGTAGTATATTTTGGTTATACGAGAGGAGGAGGAAAGTATACAAATTTTTTAAAATGCCAAAGTCTACCTGTGTTCTATATATGTGCCTCCTTAAGAGATTTTTTATTTCAACAATATCCACATCTGTCTGGATATCTTTAGTTTTTGATTCTTTCGCATGACCAGCAAAACCAGAATTCTTCATTTCTTTCTGCATATATATAAAAGTATTTTAGATAATAAACTAAAGATAGTATCAACACAATTGATAAGTATCACCATGAACAATATAATACAAGAATTATGTTCATGCAGCAAAAATTTTTACAAACCACGTAAAGATTCTACAATGAAATAAGAAGTTTTAAAAAGTAGACATTTAATTTGGAAAATTTACATAAGTACTTTCTTAAAGCACTTTTCATTTTAACATGTTCAAAATCTTTTCTAGATCTTTTCTTTCTCCCCCCCCTTTTCTTTGTTGCCATCTTCACACAAAACATGATTTATTAATTACTTACCTTTATTTTTCTGAAAATACTTCTGATTATATGTAAATAAATGTGCTATAGTTTAAATTGCAAAATAAAGTTATAATCTAGGAAAATTAATTCATGAAAGATTTCCATTTAAGAGAGGTCTTATCTTTTGAAAATGGCCTGTATTAGACCAGAGAATGTTAAATGTAAATTAGAATCTTTTACCCAAAATACATATACATATATTGGGGTATGTTTCATTTCAAGAATTTTAGTCTCTTTTTCAGAATCTTTGTTTTATTGTATTTTTTGCTACCTCAGGCAAAACAAAATATACTTAAATATTCTGATTACCTCAAATTTCACTATATATGCATATAAAATACTTTTATTGTCACCCAAAGTTAATTATAGCATTAGTTATGAATATCATACCACATTAACTGAAGAAGCATTTTTTATAAAATATTCAGGTTATATTTAACATCAAGCAATCACATAAGTCAAATTATATATCTACAATACATTAAAAGCAGAATAATGAAAACTGAACATCTCAGCAAAGTTTTTTACCTGATCTCTGTATATGTGCTTCCTTAAAGTACTTTTAATTTTTTCATGTTTGATGTCCATCTTAGAATCTCTGTCTTTTTCTTTTTTACATTTTTTCCTCAAAGTATAACTCCTTTGAAGATCATCATCCTTTTTCTTAATTTCCTTCTATACGTATTTAGACCACAATAAAAATAAATCTTCAACACGAATGACATATATTACAAAGTTCAAATACATTCAGATTCTTGAGTTTATACAAAAGTAAAATTTCTTGACTCAAATACAACACTAATAATTTTTAAAACAACAAATTTCACTCACTTTGGGAACAGGTATATACCTCAGTAAATAAATATTTTGGAAAACAGTTGGGCATTACCTGCTTGAACATGTACAATCCTTATGGCCCAACAATTCCTAAGCTAGAAAAAGATCTTGAACATGTATACCAAGTGTCATATAAGAAAATGCTCACACTATTCATGGCAGAACTGTTTCTAACTGCAAAATGAACCAATCAATCAAAAACAGATCAACAAAAAGAAACCCAAATACTTATCAATAGCAAAAAGATAAAAGATATAATTGTGATACAATGAAACATGACCTATACCAGAAAATAAAACATTATAGTAAAGACTATAAACACCATGAAAAACAGAGTTCACTAAAAGGCAAAATTAAATAGTATATTGCTAGGGACACACAGATGTCTGGCAAAACTAAAATAAAAAATGAGATGATTAAAATTCCAACAGAAGATAATCTCTGTAAAAAGAAGAAAATGGGACACAGTGTGCAAATGATAAACGGTAGAATCTTAACAGAGATAGTTCTATTTGTTAACCTTGCTAATGTAGACAAAAGTCAACTTTGTCATCTTTTAAAAACTGTACACAAATGCTTTATACTCTTGTACACAATTCAGAAGAAATAATATTAAAAATGATAAATATGGTAAATTTAGAAAAGAGCTGTAAAATATAAATTATTCTTAATTTGGTAGGTCTTACCTGATTTCCATATGTGTGCTTTTCTAAGGCATTTGTTGTTTTAACGAAAGTTAAATCTTTACTGGAATCTTTGAATTTTTCTTTTTTGTGATGTCCAGTCAAAACAGAACTAATATTAACATCTCCATCATGATTTTGCATTTTTTTCTGCATAGTCATAAAAATACTTTTAGTATGGGTTAACCATACTCTTTAACACAACTAGTACACTACAAGTCACAACAAAAAAATTCAAAGAAGGTATGTTTACAATAACATATATAAGCGACTGGTCCAGTTCCTCTAAAAAGCAGTATCGAGGTTTCTCCAAAGATTAAAAATGGATTTGCTATGCAATTCAGCAATTCTACTTCTAGGAGTCTTATCCAAACAATACTATCAATAATTTGAAACAAAATTCACACCCCCATGTTTACTGCAGGACTATTTCTAATAGACTAGTTATGGAAGCAACTTTAAGTGTCCAAAATAGACTAGTAGATGAAGATGTGATACTTATACACAATGGAATACTACTCAGCAATCAAAATAAACTCTTGCAATGTGTGGAAACACAGATGGAACTGGAGTGGATAATGCTAAGAGAAATAAGTCAGATGAAAAAGACAAATACCAAATGGCTTTACTTATATATAAAATATAGAGAAGGCAATGGCTTTAAAATCAACCCTTGAAAGCAGGTAACAGAAGGGGGAAAAAAGGGTGAGAACAGGGTAGAGAGAACACAACAGACTGGTAGAAGACTATGGGTACATTGGTGGTGGGTGTGCTATGGTGAGTACACGTGAAAGGAAAGTTCCATACTTTCAAAATACTAAAAAGGATGTAAATCAATATACTTCAATTAAAAAAAAAATAGAAAAGGATCCTCATGGATTATAAGAATTAACATTGTTAAAATGACCATCTTATCCAAAGTAATGTACATATTTCATACAATCCCTATCAAAATTTCAATGGCATTAGTCAAAGAAACAAACATTAATGAAACTTGTACAGAATTACAAGAGAACCCAAACAGCCAAAGCAATCCTCATAAAAAAAGGAATGTGGAGATATTATACTCCCAGACTTCCATCTACAAGGCTATAGTAATCAAAATAATACTGTTTTGGAATAAATACAAACACACAGACCAATGGAACAGAAATGAGAACAACCAAATAAATTAAAACTTAAATGGACAATAAGTTTATTAGGTACCAAAGTAGCCAAGTGCATAAAATAGAGAAAGGAAAGTCTTTTAAGCAAAATGTATTGGAAAGATTGGGCAGCTATATGCAAAAGAATGAAACTCCAACACTATCTCACACCATTTAGTTAACTCAAAATGATGAAAGACTAAATCACCAAATACATAAAACACTGACAAAACATTCTACAACAATGACTTTAGGGATGCCTTTAGGGACTCAACAGCAAGGGAAACAAATGAAAAAATGTAATGACCCTTTAATAATAAGTTACATTATGACCCCCCTCCCGCCCTGACAAACACGTCTGATAATTTCCTGTTCTCCATTAAGAAAATACCACAGTTTCTTCATTGGTCCACATCTCCCATAACTCTCTCTTGCTCTTGCTCTGAATCAGCCTGACTGGCATCCTTTCTGTTCCTAGAAAATATGGGGTGCACTCCCAGTTCAGGATCTTTGCATCTGCTGATACCTTGCCTGGGTAATTCTCACAAATGTGTACATACCCTTATATATGTATATGTGTATATACTCAAAGATGTCTACAGATTTTCATGTCTATGCACATATAGGTCTAACTATATACATATGTCTACATAAAGACTCTCAAGCACTGGCTCAAATATCAGTAAGATGTTTCTGACAAGATTATAGAAAACTGTAATCATGCTCCTCTATTCCTTTCTCTCTTTCCCTGCTTTTTTTCTCCACAGCAATAACTACCCTTTGATACGTTTTCTGCTTATCTGTTATTATGTTTTCAATAGGTATTAGTTTCACAATGCTGAGAATGCTGCCTGCTCTGGTCTCTGCTATATGCCTATAGATATCAACAGTGCCTGGCACATCCAAATTTTTATTAAGTGAAAAAAAATTAAAAATCACATTGAATGAAATACAGTAAAAAGACTTGTGATTATATTACATCTTAATTAGACTAAGCAGCAGAAATATACAGATTTTTTTTCTGTTATTTCAGAATGGTTTATGTTGTTGTTTACATATATTTTTAAGCCTTCAATTTTGTTAACACTCTTTCTTGGAATCCCTATCTTTCTATGTGTAATAGGTAAGTCAAAACAGATTTTTGTTTGTTTACATTTTTTTTATTTTACTTTCCCAGATTTTTTTTTTTTTAATTTTACTTTCCCAGATGTTTTCTAAAATATTTTAGTTAAGTAATTCAAATTCTCAAGAAAATCTTTTTAAGGACACAGGGTATAATATGACATAGGTATACTATTAAACAGAGTAAAGTGTATCACAAGATATACTATTCATTCATTATAAAAGACATATTTTTTAAATAAACAGAAATTTCTACCTGAATTTTATAAATTCCCTTAGTTCTCAAAGGAACTGAAGATAAATATAAATGTATTTTATAATTTCCATATCTTTCATGAAATTTTCACAATTTTTGCATACTAAATCAAAACTGATTTTATTAACTCCACCATAATTTTATATACCTTTCTATAAGTAAAGTAGTTGTAGTGTGGTTGATAATTCATATTTTCATAGATATGTCACCTTAAAAAAATACTCTTATCAAGACCATGCACAAGCAGTAAGAGGGGTAGTCTTATAATCTCGTAAGAGACACAGAGCAACATCCTAATATATTCAAATCACAGACAATAAAATACAAAGCTGGTCTCAAGTATCAGTTCTATGATTCTAAAATCTACGTTATTTCTATCACATATTGTTTATTAAACAACTTGGAAGAAAAGCCAGAAACATATATTTAGCTTACAAAATTTTACCTGAGTTTTATACATAGTCTCTCTTAAAGCATCTTTCATTTCAAAAAATTCTGTATCTTTTCTGAAATCTTTGTTTTTCTCCTGATTGCAATGTTTATTCCAAAAAGAGTAAGTCTGGGAATCTTCATTATTTTGAATTTCATTCTGTATGCATACAAAAATAGTTTTGGCAATCAATTATGTAAATTTTAATATTATGTATTTCTTTATGTATCCAGCTTTATCCATAATGCAAAATACTTTATAAGTCAAAAAAGAAAGCAAAATATACTCTACTAAGTCATAGGTTATTAAATATTAATAAATTTTGTTAGGGAAAAACAATTATTACAACAAAGTAACAGTAAAATGATTTCTGTCTATTTCATAAAGGCTAATAATGCTTTTATAATCTAGATTAAAAGAACTCAGAATTTAGACTACTCAGATTATTTTTTAGTTTTTTTTTTTTTGATGACAAGGTTTCTCATTTGCAAGTATCCTAGACAGAAAGGAAAAAAGATAGAGTAATGGCTGAATTCACAGCTTTACTTTACTTGAATACACAGCTTTACTTTACTTGAATAACAATAATTATCTTCACTTAACTACTTCAAAATACATGAATTTCTCTTACCAAGAAATTCAAACTGAATTCATAAAGCATGTATCAATAACAAATTTAATCAAAACTCTTATCTGTATCTATTTAGGTAATTCTAGACATTTAGTAAGATAAAGAGGAATAAAGATGAATTCATATTTCTTAAAATGTACTTACAAAAGGGTATTCAGAGATTCACTACCTTTACAACAGGAAACTGGAGAATCACTGTTCTCCCAGAGAACAATTATAATAGAAGCTGATATGTGTTAACGTCTATGATATGTTCTTTGGTTCCCTTTCACTTGACTGGTCTACTACATGAATGTGAAAGTCTTCTAGGAGGCTGAAACCCTGTATCCAGAGAATACCTTGAGAGTAGCTGATTGAATTTCTTTGGTTACTCAAAAAAATGTCACTGAAAACTAAGAAAAATGAAGCCATTTCTTTTTACCTATTCCTGATATCAAAGAAAGGATTATTCTGAATGTCCGAACAGCAACTTTTGTTAAGGACAATTTAAAGGGGAATAAAATAAATTTCTGCTTAAATCTCAAAGTTGACAGTGAAGGATAAATCCTGAGACTCAGATCATCAAGAAATGCCTAAAATACAGGATAAGTCAATCCCATAGAAATTTCAGTTACCAGAATATATAAAAAGAAAAAAAGCAAGTCATTATTGCTAACTGAGTGAGAACATAGTTTTCTAGTACTAAATATAGTTATTGATATATCCATTTTGGATAGTTTATAATGACCAGTGAATTAAGATATATAAATTAAGTGGCCTTGTAAGTTAACTAATCAAATATCAAAACACAATATATAAATTGACAATTGGATGATTTTTTAAAAATGTATTCTCTACAGACCTAAGCAAATGATTAAAATGCAATTTTCTCCTAGTTACTAGTACTCTAATTGGCTACTCTTATGAAGTACCTGGGAATTATTTTACTTAGCTTTAGTTATTCATACTTGTAAATATTTCTTTAGTACCAGCTATGTACTTGGCATGTGCTAAGTGTTTGGTCATCTTTATAATCTAGAAAAAGAGGGTCACAAGCAAGAATCTATTCTATAAAACATAACACTATGTTCCAAAATTACCAAAAGACTACTCAGTAAATTATTCTATTTTCTAGGAATGGGGCAATATGGTATAGTGATGACAGTTCTTGCTTCTAATTTAGATGTTTCATTAGATTTACTGGTAAAATGCACTGGAATCTAGCTAGGTCTTATTCCTTGATTCAACAATGGCATTTCCCATAAAATTCATTAGGCTAGAGAACTAGAGAAGTCAAGAATGATAGTTCTACATGGTTTTACCTAACTTATACCCAGTTTCTTAAGTGTTATCTCTATAATCCTATGACTGACTATTATTTGTCATTACTTTTAACTACCCAGAAAGTAGAAACAATGCCTACTAAGGAAACCTAATAATACCCAGAATGAGAAAAGGAAAAGGAGATTCAAGGACAAACCTTTAAAATTTATGAGTAATTGGTATTAAATTTTTGGTCTGACATACAACAATTGTGGGATCATGGGCAAATTATTTAACCTCAGTATATCTCATTTCAACAACTGTAAAATAGGTGTAAAATAGGGCCACAACATAAGCCACATAAGGACATGTGGTTTAAACAAGATTAGCATATAAAATACTTAATACTTGGCACATACTAATTCCTCAATAAATACCAGAGTAACAGTTATAACTTTCACAACAACCAAAGTAAGTTAATATTAACTTCTATACAATGAAAAAATTCAGTAACAGGATAAATGACTTCCCTATGATTACAGAATCAGTTGATTATAAATCTGGGTCAAAAATATTTGATTTGGTTTAAATACGTACTTCCCCTCTGCTATTCCTACTACATTTCTATAAGACTCTTCTGTGGTCCATTTTCTTTTCCTTTTTTTTTTTTTAAAGATTTATTTATTTATGAATATAGAACTAGGGTGCAGGCCAGAGGTACAGGGCCAGTGGGAGGCTTTACCAGAGACAGAGCGGGAAGCAGAACAGGCAGATCAACAAAGAACACTGTTGACGGAGCAGGGGACAAGAGAAGAGAGGTCGATGGGGTGGGCTATGTGGGTCACCGCTGAGGCTGGGGGATAGAACTCCAACTGAAGCAGCTGCAGCTAGCTTGCAGTGGTGCATCCCAACCTGTTGCACCACCAGGGAGGGCCCTCATTTTATTTTCTATCTTGAACAGATGAAAGAAGTTTCGAGCATTCCTAAGGAACACTCCCTTAGGAAGCCCTCCTCACTCAAGCAACTGAGGTATATTAGTCATTTGTTAGTCTACATTTCAGTACCTTCAGTTTTATGAATGAACAATAAACCACTAAAAAACTAAGTCTCTCGAAGTGTGATATGTGAGTTTATAAATATTCCAAGGCAGACTGAAGAGCGACTAGGGCAGTGAGTCTTCAATAAATGTATATAAGCCTAAACTAAATAGATTACTGATTCTGTTACTCAGCAGTTTTCCAAAAAGTGTAAGTATGCTAAATAAGCTATTTCAAAAAATTGCTTAATATTTACTTTTAATTCAATTTGTTTTACACAACCACTCCTCTTTACAAGACACTGCAAAATCCATCTAATGAGGAATGCAATATGCTTTGTGCCAAAGAGGTAGAAAAAAAAGCAAGACAGCAAAATGATCACAAATGCTTTCCTTCTCTGAAATGAATGTTATGAACTACCAGCTGTCTAATACAGAACTTACAAAACAATATACGCTAAAATACAAATTAAAGAATATCCACTATTTTTAGCTGACATACTGTTGCTGCCCTCCAGTATTTATCCACTGGAAGAGAAAAACAGTAAGTTTTACAAAAATGAAATAAAAAAACCATGAATAGAATTACAAGAGGAATACAAAATCTGAAGTATAAACAATAATATGAGGAGAAAGAAAATAATATGAGGAGAAAGAAAAGGTCAGAACCTGTGTAATATCAATGAGTTAATACCAGTTCATAAAGAACTTTTGTATACATAGTAAGTTTGTTATAACCCCCATAGAACCATTAAACAAAAATCTACAAAGGCATACAGAAGAAATGAAGAAATTGAGAATATCACTAAGGAGTTGTTTCAGAGAGAAACAAAACTAAGGTAAAACAATAAAAAATCAGAATGACTGATAATAATTAGTTATATCAATATTCAGCTTAAATGTGAATGTCCTGAACTTACCAACTATAAGGGAGAAAAATGACAACTTGAAATAAAAGTTTCAACCACTTATATTTTATTTACAGGAAACTCATTTAAAATCAAAATACAAAAGCAAACTTAAAGGAAAAGGTTGAACCCAAGTGTTTAAAGTTAGTAACTCAGAAAAGCAGAAAATGCTATTCTCTTATCTGATAAATTAGACTTTCAGCCAAAAATGTGATCAGGGACAAAGATGGATACTACATGATGGTCAAGGGAATAATTCATCAAGAAGATATAATTGCCATTAATATTTACACACCTAACACAGGGGGCCTTAGTTATATAAAACAACTATTACTAGACCTAAAACAACATGCTGATAAAACCACAATTACTGTCAGAGACCTCAACAAACCACCGACATGCAGGGATAGCTCATCCACACAGAATATTAACAAGGAAATAATGGCCTTACATAAAGTGTTGGACCAGATGGATTGAACAGACATTTATAGAGCCTTCCATGCCAAAAGAAATGAATGCACATTCTTCTCAAGTGCCTGTGCAACATTCTCAAGAATAAATCAAATGTTGGTACACAAAACATGTCTCAGCAAATAAATGACAATAGAAATTATAGTAAGCATCTCAGATCAAGTTAGAAATTAACTACAAAAAGAAAGCCAGAATAAACCAAAACACGTAGAAATTAAACAAAATGATACTGAACAACTCCTAAGTCAATCAAGCAATCAAAGAAATTTGATTAAGCATGTAAAATAAACAAAGAATTTAAAAAGTTATCTAGAAGCTAACAAAAATGGAGAGACAAGTAATTAGAGCCTAAAACGATTACTACTGATATGAGGGAATTTATAGCAACAAAGGCCCACATTTAAAAAAAAAAAGAAAGAAATACTTCAACTATACCATTCAACTCTACAGCTTAAGGAGCAAGAAAATGAAGAAAAAATTAACCTGAAAATAAGTAGAAGGGAAAAATTTGAAGTAGAAAACAAAAAGACAGTACAAAATATCACTGATGGCAAGATCTGATTCTTTTCAAAAATACACAAAATTGAAAAGCCCTCAGCTAGAATCACCCAAGAAAGCCAAATAAACAGAATCAGAATAAGGGAGGTGAAATTGAAACATACTGCTAAAAGACAAAGGCTCTTAAGAACCTACTCTGAACATCTCTGCTCAAACTGGACAATTTAGAAGTAGTAAACAAATTTTAGATTCATCACAATATCCCAAGACTATAGCTTAAGCACTCCAGTTAAAAGTACAGAATTGAAAATACTAAAAAGCCTGAGAAATATAAGCCTAGGACCAGAAGGCTTCTCCAGTGAATTCTATCTACTAGACATATAAAGAGAACTAATACCTACCTACTCAAACTCTTTAAAAAAAAAAAAAAATTACACTGACCCCCGAAACGATCAACAATCAAGGATAATGCATAAAAAGAAAACTATAGGATGATAACCACGATGAACATAGATGCAATAGTTCTCAACAAAATCCTAGAAAAACAAACATAGTCACATAATAAGAAAAGCATCCATTACAATCAAATAGTTCATCTCAGAGATGCTAGGACAGTTTGACATATATAAATTAATCAACATCACTTACCAGAGAAACAAAACGATAAAAATCACATGATTATTTCAACAGATACAAAAAAGCACTTGTCAAGAATTCAATATTCAGTTATGGTAAAAATAATGGATATAAACAAAAAAATGGATATAAACAAAATTTATCTAAATATAATAGAAGCTACTTGTGACAAGCTGAAAGCAACTTCATGCTGAATGGTGAAAAATTGAAAGCATTTTCACTAAAACTATGAGAAAGGATATCTACACTCACCATTATTGTTGAACATAGTCTTTGAAAGCCTAGCTGGAGTAATAAGACTAAACCAAGACATAAAAGAAATCCAATATGGAAAAAAGTGAAACTATCTCAATTCACAGATAAAATCATATATAGAGAATCCAAAAGTTTCTCATAAAAAAATAGTAGAAATAATAAATGAATACACGAAAGTGGTAGGATACAAAATAAATTACAAAAATCAATTGCATTTCTATATGCAAACAATGAATTAGAAAAAAAAAATCCCACTTGCACTCACACCAAAATTAACAAAGGATTTGGTAAAGGATATATACAGTGAAAACTACCTCCAAAATGCTCGTGTAAATAAAAACTATGTAATGTCATAGTGCATTAGTAATTTATTTATAATCTGATGCTACAATGCTTACAATTGTTTTGTAGTAAAGTTTACTAAGCAATGAAAACAAAACTAGAGCACAAAATTAAATGAATTTTAAATTTAACAAGTAAGTCTCATTGAGATCTATTAGGATTTTCCAGTACTTAATTGAGAACAATTGCTTAAAAATATGACATTTTAATTACTTGTAAGCATTTTTTCAAAATTTAGAACACAATATATATTTTACAATATTGATATTTAACATTTTATTTTTTTAAATATTATACTTACCTCTAAAAGAAAATCCCCTAGATACTGAATTGGATAAAATGGAGCCTTAAAGTTATCTTTTTCTTGTTCAGCCTTGATTCTTGCATTACTGGCAATCACATGAGTTATCCCACTTGGAGAACCTTTTGGTAAAATGACATTTGCTTTTCCAGCCTCCAACACTCTAAATAAAATGTAAATAGTATAGAAAGTATTATAAATTACATTCAATAAAATTCTCAAGCTCTATATGCAGTGAAAATATCTCAAAGAATAAACCAAGGTTTTCTCAAGTAAATAAAACATGCACTAAGACACTGCTCAAGAACCGTACTACAAAGACTACGAAAAGTTCTTTAGATAGAAGTATGACATCAAAAAAGAATCTGAATCTACACAAAGAAATGAAAGAACATATTGCCAGTGTCTTTAGGAGATAACTGCTTATGTAAGACAAAGATAGGAGAGAAATAACAACAAAAAGATAGGAGAAAAAAATGGAAGAATAGTTTTAGGATTTTTTCACTATATTCCAAATAGAATAATATTATTTGATAGTCAAATTATGAACAACTTAAGATAAATATTGTAAACCTTAGTTCAACAACAAAAAAATTAAAGATATATAAATATCTTTATTCATACATATATTTTACTATGTAGAATATACACGTCTTATTTATGGAGTAAAATAACAATCTAATGTGGAGATGACAAAAAACCACTAAAAAACATTCAGATGATCCAAAAGTCAAGAGTTTAAAAACAGAACAAAGAACAGATGAGAACAAAGCAATTCACAAAATGTTAAATTAAAAACAAAACTTTCCAACAATTATGTTAAAAGTAAATGATATAAACAATGCAATTAAAATGGTAAAATTAGATTTCAAAACACGAAACTGTATACATAATACAATAAGCCTACTCTGAAATGCATGAATAGGTGATTTCATTGTTATGCAAAGCTAGAAGTAAATTCAATATCTTAGTTGGTTCCAAACTTTTCCTTCAACATCACATTTTGTTTTGGGTCCTCAGGATACTGAGAGGGATGAAAGCCTCTGTGCCTTGTAGTCAATATACTGCACTTAGAAGTTTTTCCAAATATAACTGGCACTTTCTTAGTTTTGTTAATCTCCTCCTTTGACAATTTACATCACTTTATTTATAATTATTCTTCAAGATAAAAGTATGGTGGAATGGGACATGTCTGACTGGTGAACAATGACCGTAAGTGGCTACTCTTTTAGTTCTTACTCACTTATAATTTCCTTTCAATCACTCAACACGGTCTCTTATTGCAGCACTAGTGGCAGACACTGTATACTTAGAGGCCCAAATGAATAAAATAACATGGGATTAAATCAAGTAAAGGGAAAATGATGCCATCAAGAGACATCATAAAAGAGATGTATGAGGCTGCTGCCAATGTAAAATGCTTTGAAATTGTAACAGGTAATCAGTCACTAGGCAATAAGAATTTTAAGACTGCACCTGTATAAGGGTTCTGTCATTGACAGAACATTATTATGTGGCATACAATTGTAAAAGAATAGACAATTCTGTATTCTGCCAAAATATTGTCTAAAAATTAAAATGGCCACACTAATATCCGGGAAAGAACTTCAAACAAGGAATAGTACTAGAGGTAAAGAGAAATATTACAATACAATAAAGATTTTAATCTGTCAAGACGATAAATATTATTAAATACAGATGCAACTGAAAACATTTAAAATGAAAAACAACAAAAACTGACAAGAGTGGCAAGGATAATGACAAATCCACAATTACAGTTAGAAAATTCGAAATTCCTCAGCAATTAGTGGAACAGTATAGAGGAAACCAGGAAGAATACAAAACACTGAATAACATCATCAAATGATTTGATTTAATTGGTAAAATTTATACTCAAGTGAACAACCGCAGACTTCTACCTAGTTAGGTCATATTCTGGATAAAGCAAATCTTAATAGATTTAAAAGGTTGAAATCACATAAAATATATTCTCATATGTTAAGCTAGATATCAGTAGCAGAAGGATATCTAGCAGAAAAAGAATCTTCAAGTATCTGTGAATTAAAGAACAAATTTATAAAATAACTATTGGATAAAAGATGAAATAAAGAAATTTACAATACTCTGAATTGAATTAAACGGCAAATACACTAACCAAAATTTATGGTATGTAGATAAAACAATGCTTAGAGGGAAGCTAGTAGAAATGAAAAAACATTCACAGTAGTGTTACTGATCCAAGGTATTATCTGAAGGAGTCAAAAATCATGGAAATTATTCAAAGTAAATGAAAGAAAGAAAATAAGCAAAATTATTTCAGAAATCACTAGGTAAACAGGACTTAAAAGTAATGAAACTAAAATAAATTTTAATTACCCATTGTTCATATTATAAAATTGTGTACAAAAATTATACTTAAAATACATACAATATATAAAATTTATAATGTATAAAAATGCGCTTAAAATAACAATAAACAAAATAATATTTGAATAAATTAAATATATATAATAATTTTTATACAGTGGCTTGCTATCCTATGACTTTGTTAAATTCTCTAAATTCTAATAGCTTTATGTGACCATGTGAATTATGTGACCATGTCTTTTGAAAAAGAAAATAATTGTCTTTCTTTACAACTATGTGTTTTTTATTTTATTTGCTTTACTGCATTGTCTTCAATAAAATGCAAAAGAGGTATTGTCAGAATGAGTATGCTTATTTTTGTTCCCAATTATGGAGAACAAACAATCTGAGATAATAAGTTTAGATTTTTCACAGAAGTCCCTTATTAGGCTGATGAGACAGAAGACCCTAACAAAATATTTACATATACAACAATAAAGAAGACCCTAACAGAATTTTACAAACAGCACAAGCAATTATTAAAGATGGGTAATATACTGTGAAGAAGTGGAGTTTATCTAATGATAGAATGATTCAGTATTGTTAACATCTCTATCTACCCCAATTTTTCATACAGATTTAATACAACTCCAATCAAAACGACAGCTTTTATTTGTGTGTGTAAATTGACAAGCTGATTAAAAAATGCTAAAAAATCCAGAACTACCAAAACAATTTTGAAAAAGATAACAACTCACACTACCTGATTCAAGGCTCAGTATAAAGATAAGGTAATTAAAAAACAGTACAGTAGTGACCATACAAATACTGTCAACTGATTTTGACAGTAGTCAAAATTATTTTGCCAAAACAATAGCAAAGCAAGTGGCACTCTAATACAATGCTAGTGGGATTATATATAACATGGCTCCAACACTTTGGAAAACAGTATCCTTTTATTTATTTATTTATTTTTGCTAAATACTTAACTATCAACTGAGCAGTCAGGAATTTCATTTCTATATATTTATCCAAGAAAAAGAAAATATCCACAAGACTTGGACTCAAATGTTCATAACAACTTGATTCACTCTGCAAAAACTACACAAAGAAAAAAATGTATATCAATAAGTAATAGATTTTGATACATCCAGAGTGGAATACTACTAAACAAAAACAAAGGAAAGAACTGCTGATATATATGTAACAATGTAGATGAACTTCAAAAATAATGTGTCAGCCTTAAAGAACTGGAAAAAGAACAACAAAATAACTGAAAAGCCAGTAGAAGACAGGAAATAATAAAAGTCAAGTCAGAAATAAATGAAATGGAAGTTCAGAAAACAATCCAAAAAAAAAAAATCAATGAAACCAAAAAGTTGGTTCTTTGAAAAAATAAATAAGATAGACAGGCTACTAGCCAGGTTCACAAAGAAAAAAACAAGAGAAAGCATAAACAGGATCATAGACAAATGAGGAGAAATCACAACAGATCCAGCAGAAATCAAAAGAATATCACAGAACTTTATGAACAACTATATGCAAACAAGTTCGACAATTTAGCAGAAATGGACAAATTCTTACAACTCTACAACCACCCAAAGCTAGATAAAGGAGACATAAAACATCTAAACAGGCCAATTATAAGCAAGGAAATTGAAGAAGTAACCAAAACACCTAAAAAGGCCAATTATAAGCAAGGAAATTGAAGAAGTAACCAAAACCCTCCCCAAAAATAAAAGCCCAGGACCAGATGGATTTACAAATGAATTTTTACCAAATGTTCAGAAAAGAATTAGTGCCTATTCTACATACTCATCCAAAAAATTGAAAAAGGAAAACTACCACATACTTTCTACGAAGCCGACATCACACTAATACCAAAACCTAACAAAGAAAACAACACAAAAAAGAAAACTTTAGACCAATCTCCCTAATGAACACCGATGCAAAAATCCTCAACAAAATCTTAGCTAACAGAATCCAACAATGCATTAAAAGAATAATACACCATGACCAAGTGGGCTTTAACCCAGGAGCACAAGGATGTTTTAACATCAGAAAATCAATTAATGCAATCCATCACATCAAACGACAGAAAAATAAAAAACCACAAAATCATATCAATAGAGATTGATGTAGAGAAGACATTCGACAAAGTTCAACACCCATTTATGTATGTTTAAGGCCCTTGAAATCCTTGGAATAGAAGGAACATACCTCAACATGATAAAAGCCATGTATGACAAACCCAGAACAAGTATTATCCTCAATGGAGAAAAACTGAAAGCCTTTCCTTTGAGATCTGTAACAAGACAAAGGTGTCCACTATCGCCACTGCTCTTCAACATAACATTGGAAGTGCTAGCCAGGGCAAATAAGACAGGAAAAGGATGTACAAGGAATCCTAATAGGGGAAGAAAAAGTAAAACTGTCCTTACTTGCAGACGATGTGTTAATCTACATGGAAAACCCTAAAAACTCCACAAAGAAACTAATCAAAACCATCAACCAAGGCCCTCCCTGGTGGCGCAGCGGTACATATACACAATGGAATATTACTCAGCAACCAAAAAAAAAAACCCCACATGTCTTTTGCAGCAACTTGGATGGAGCTGGAAAAAAATCATGCTTAGTGAAATAAGTCAGAAAGAAAAAGAAAAATACTAGATGGTTTTCATTCATAGCAGGAGTTATGTAGGGCCAGGTGAGAAAAATAATAATGAACGACTATATACCAGAGACATTTTATGGGAGTGGAATAAGGGATGGGATCAAAAACAGTGGGGGGGAGGGAAGTGCATTGGACTATGGTGATGGCATACAGATGATTTGGTGACGCATATCAAAAGAGTACATCAACATCATCCCATTTATATCAAATTTTAGAGACAAATCCAATGTATAGGACAAAAAGTAACTCAGTGACATTGGAAGTGTAAAATTAAAGGTACAAAGACATAAAGATATGTTGTAGGATGATATAATGTTATGAATCTTGATTGTGGTGGGGTAAATAAGTGTATAAATTTGTCCAAACTCATCAAAACATATAGCTAAATTTGTGCATTTTACTGTCTATAAATTACTTTAGTGAAGGTGACAGTAAGTCCTTATGCCACCTGCCCTCTGGCTCCCCCCACCCCCAACCAAATCATGAGACTCTTAGAATATAGTTTGCTCAGTAAAACTTTTCAATAGATGGAAAAAAAAAAAAGAAATCAATGATTTAATGATGAAAGTAAAATTAACTATGAAGATGCACTATATAAACCCAGAAAAAAGCCTATGTGCTAATAAAATCTAAATCTTTATTTAACTTGTCATAAATAGGTTTTTGGGAGCTTTGACTTTAAGCAAAATGACATAATGAATTCAGTTTTAACACAAACTAAGAGTTAAGTTCCTGTGATATTTTTCTAGCAACAAACACATCACTAAACTTTTAAATATCTGAAAGAATTCTAATATCAAACAATTTTATTTCACTCATTCTTTTTCCAATCTGCTTATTCCAGTTCGGGGTTATGGGTGATTAGACCTTATTCTGGCAACTCAGTAAAGCAGGAACCAACAACTGATAGGACACTATTCCATAGCAATGTGCCACCCCCTCACCCAAGCAGACTGGGACAATTTACACAAGCCAATTCACCTAATACGCACATTTTGGTATATAGGAGGAATCTGAAATAACCCAAGAAAATGCACACAGACATGGAAAATGCAAATGTTACATAGATAGTGGCTTCAGACAGAAAACTGCAATTTTTTGTACTGTTATCTATGTTTTAAAGAAATAACATTGAAGGAGGAAAAGTCACTGAGGAATTGTTCTAACTAAAAAATCTAAAAGTGCATTAAAACCTAAATTATTCCAATTTTTAAAATTTTGCTTAAATTACCAAAAAAAACACAAAATATAAAACACACACACAAAAACACAAAACACAAACTTGGAAAGTAAAATAGAGATCACCAATATAATCTAAAACAATACTTGAAAATAGATTTTATTCCACTTAGACACATACAGCTAAATGTGCAGACTGGCTTAACTAGGAAATTAGAGTAAATTACCTTGGATCATTTGGACTAAATAAGTAATTGACTTACTAGTCCAAACATATACTTAAACAAATTAAAACTTTTCTTATTCACTGCATCAGCTTTTATGAGATCTCATCTTACCTAACAAGAGAATCACTTCGTTTATCAGCTCTAACAAGGAGGACAACTTTCCATCTGTGGAAGGCTCCTGGAGCACCAGTGCGTTTCAGTTCTTCACGCCATCTCTTAGGTGCAGACTGCATTTGAGCTGAATAATGGGAGTCTTTCTCAATTTTATATCCCCATTCGTAGGTTGTTTCATCAAGCCATCTGCCACTTTTGGCACTATGAATTATATAGTCCTTAGTTAGTACCCACTTTCCTAGAAAGCAAATAAATACCAGTCATGAAAGGATTTTTGATTTGCTAAGTGGTAAACAGTAAAGACCAAAAAATTGGACTGTTTCAAAATAAGACTTTACCCTGCCAACATTTTTGTTAACTGGTTCCTCCTATTTTTCAGTAGTGAAAAGCCTACAACATCCCTGAACATTGTATGTAATCTTTACCAGGATGCATAGTTTTAAATGTTACTGAGTAAGTTATGAATTTAAGGTCAATTCTAAAAACAATGTGGTACTATTTACAAATTATGATTACTACTATTATTCACTCTGTATGTTAGGTTTATAATCTTCCTTCCATGTGAAAACATTTTCTCAATATTGACAGCATTGTTATACTTTGTAAAACAAAACTGAAATAGATCAATATTCATGGTGTTTAAAAATATTCAGTGATCTTTTTAAAAGTGCGTGGCACTGTGTATTCATTTGTGTAAGTAGTGGTAAAAATCACCTGAGTTCAATACAATTTTTTTTTCCCAATGGACAATGATAAGCCAGGTGAGTCAGAACTGACAAAATGATCCCTAATTTTGATTTATGGGATTTAAAGACTCGTGAAAAGATTGTTTCCAGGTCTTTTGGCTAAGCTCACTGTAAAATTTCATAAAAATAAGATAGGTTGATAACTGCTTTGCTATGACAGAAAAGACGACAGCAGCAAGAGAACAAAAACTATGACTATTTTCATGACAGAACAAAGAAAATTGAGTGTAGCCAAGGATTCAAAAAAAAGTGTTAAAAAAGGTTTTTTGCATAAAGCAATTATAATACATCTTTACCAAAGTCATGCTTCTGTTTAACACATTTTTCATGTATTACAGTTTTGTTCCAAAAAATAAGCCAAACATATTAATGTCACACTTTACTCTTTTCAGAAAAAAACTTTTATGTTTGATATAATAAACATACTACATGTCCAGAGACTAAGGAACTTTTTCTTTAACGTGAACATTTCTTTTCAAATGTCAGTGGAAGGCACTTAAATTACCTGCTGCACAAGCTGCTAAAAATTTTTCGCTCTTACATAGGCGTTCAGCTATAAGGTGTGTACAATTTTTGTATTTCTGGAAGGAAAAAATTCACACAGAAAATGTTACTTAGGAAATATTACTTTTATAACACATTCCTTTTGTTCTTACAATTATCAGGTAGGCATTTTATCATTATAAAGCCAGTGTAGATCTTCCTTGACTTAAGACAAGGTTAAATAAAGATAAACTCATGGGCCAAATATAAATATGCCCAAAATATCCACTTTGTACATATTAAATTAGTATCAAAACTTAGCTTAACTTACCTGAGACATGCTCAGAACAGTTACATTAACTTATGGTTAGGCAAAGCCACATAATGTAAAGTCTGTCCTAAAATACAGCGCTATATATCAAAGACTAGACTGAAAATAAAAGTATCAGTTGCTTACACAGCTGAAAGGGAGCTGCAACAGCAGAGCTGCTCAGCATCTTAAGTGTCCTGCAGCACATGGCTTTATCAGGCATATGGCTACTAAGTCAGGAAAAGGGCAACCTTCAAAATCTGAAACACGACTTTTGCTGAATGTGTATACTTTCACATCATAATAAAGTTGATCAATCATAATTCAAGGATTGTTTGGGCTAGTTTTTTAATACTATATTTGAAACTACTTCTTGAATATTTTGATAAGTTTCTGTACTCACCTCACTCTTAATAAAAGTGCAATCTAGTTTTAAAAGCAATTTGCCCAGAGCTTCCTTTTCTTCCATCTTAAATCCTGTCATCTGGATGATATGCTTTGGGGTACCATCTTCCATCTGACATATATGCACATAAATAAGATGCTATATGTTAAAAATGTAATTCACAGGGTTGGCTTTATTGTATCTTAACTGAATGCTAAAAAGAAAAACTAAAATCATGAAACATATGATGAATTATACATATAAAGTTTAGTTGTAAACAACAATGTTAAAGTTGCTTAAAAGTTGTCTTCTCAAAATGTCATCTTAAAGTGAGGTTTTGGGTTTTTGATTTCTTTATGGTCTGTTTTGAACATTGGAAATTTGACACTAAAACAGACTGGTATTTATATTTTCTGAATATAATTCTTGAGAAAAGGTTAATATTGATATAAAATTCATAAAACACTAGCTTCATTTAGAAAGTACTATTAAATTGTGGGGGATAGGATTTTACTTTTAGATGTAAACTAATAAAGCTGTATACACCCGAAACATATAATGATGCAATATTACTTCAATAAAATAAATCTTTTTAAAAAATACTATTTTGCTAAGAACTTTTGAAAGATGTACACTGTGGACAAATGAAACAGTCAATTTTTTCACAGATTTTTAGTATTTCTGGACAGATACTGAAGAATATGTATGTCAATAGATAAATTGTGAAGAACTTAAGTTCCCAACAGCTCTTATGTTAATTTAGTTAGTTATGAATATTTAGTTGAGGTGACACTAGTCTACAACACTACATATCATTCAGAGGTATACAATCACAACTCTTTATAGATGTATGCCAACATACCATTACTACTACCAAGGGATCCAGTCTCCACCAGCCCACTGGGCCACGCCCCCTTTCATTTCTACTTTTCCCTTTCTCTGATTGCTTTACTTCTACAGAAGGATTTCTATGGGTTGTTATTGGTTTGGTTCTGCCAGTCTAAATTTCTTAACTCTGCCGTGTGTGTGTGTGTGTGTGTGTGTGTGTGTGTGTGTGTGTGTGTGAGAGAGAGAGAGAGAGAGAGAGATAATTTCATCACCAATGAATTAGACTGGAAAAAAGTCATGCTTTTTGATAGGGTCCTTCTCTATATTTAATGAAGGTCACAAAAGAATTTGTATTGGAGGTGCTACATTTATTAACCAAGAAAGGGAAAACAGCATTTCTAATTAGAACACAATTTTTGTTTGCTTGTTTATATGAGATTAGACCTTTATAAGTACTTAGCACCTTTGAGAAAATCTAATTTTCATTACAGATGAGAAAAACAGGGACTAAAAAAAATTAGAGAAATTTTTCATTTTTCTAACAATTTTGTCACTGTAGCTCTTGATTTGTATTTAATTAATGCCATAGGCTGAACATTAAAAGACAACTGGTGAAGTATATAAAAAAATCTGTTTAGGGTACCCCAATATTACCTTAGCTAAAAATAAATTAATTAAAATATTCATGCATGCAGTTAGAAAAACAAGTGTAAGGGGAAACTATTATTCTCAGAATTATCATGTAAAATATTTTCAATCTTATTATACATAATTATTTGATGTATAATATTACCTTCTAAAGATATTCTGTTGATGTTAGACATATAATTTATGTAAGTAGTACTGGACAAAGCAATCAGTATATTAATAGAAAGAAAAGTATTGAATAACCAAATGCAGCAACCACTAAAATACACCACTAATTTGTCCTAGCACAGAAAAGTCACAGCATCACCCTAAAGAATCCAGCACCACCACAATTGTCACAGGTACCTTCAGTCCATGACTGAGCATGGCTGAGGCACTAGTGTTGGCTCATAGCTCCAGATATAGGACCCCCTCTAATACATGATTTTGGTTATATGGTCTGGCCAAAACTGCAGCATAGCTCTAAGAAAGTTTTTAGAACAATCAATGAATCCCATTCACCTGTCCTTTAACTTAAGAATCTATCAACAATGTATATTACCATTGTACTGATTTTTAAAAATATTATGAAAAATTGCATCTTCCATTACTAAAATACTGTTTTCAGTACTGTATCAAGTGTAAGATCTATTATTTTGTTATGACCTATATATTACTATACCAATCTACCCTAACCTTGGTGAAAAGTGTCAGTAATTAACATTAACCAGAGATCAAAGAACTCTGCTTGACATATGGTTCAGAAATGAGGAGGGGTGAAGGCAATGGTTGGAAGGAAAAAGAAAACTCTGACTTCCTGTTGTGCGCCTATCAAGTCCATTCTACATAAATAACAATGATTAATATTTTACAAAATATGCTTACTGAAATCCTATTACCAGAGCTTAAGCATCTCTATATGTCCATATATACTACATGAACTACACACACACACACACACACACACACACACACACACACACACACACACATATATTTAAAGGCTGAGGTTCATCACTTTGGAGTAGTTCTTGAAAGAAAAATCACAACCAACAATATCAAGCATTACTAGGTTAAGGTTAAGAACAAATCTCCATTTCCTTTGCTTAAAATTTTTAAGAGGAAGAACTTGAGCAATGGTAGCAACATTCCTGTTTTCCTAGCTTTCACATTCTCTACATTGGGAGCAGCTACTTGAGAGAACTGGATATGATTTGCCTGGCATAATCATCAGTAAATACAACATAAGTAGTTTCTTGCATAAGAAACTTTTTACTAACCATCCAATTCTATAAAAACCATTTACAACCATTTATCATAACTCTTGAGATAATTTCCAATAACATAGATCGGTAACATATTTTTCTATAAAAGTAGTAATAAGCTGTTACTAGAACTAATGATTTAGTCCGATGTAGAGCACATATTAACATACATGCAATAAAGCCAAATGTGTATTATAAGGCATATGACCATTAAGTAGGGAGAAATGTTCCTTTCATTAGTTCTGGAGAATTCTTTAAATTTTTTAACATGTTTTCTTTTAGAGAATGATAAGTCCTTTCAAAAATACTGATCAGAGAGTCTAAAAAAGATATTTCTCCAAAGAGGAAATGCTGATGACCAATAAGCAAATTAAAAAATGTTCAACATCACTTACAATCAGTGAAATGCAAATCAAAATCACAATGAATACTACCTCACATCAGTACAAATAGTCTACATTAAAAAAACTGTCAACATAAAATGCTGGCAAAGATATGGAGAAAAAGGAACCGTTTTACATTGCTGGTAGAAATGTAAAATAGTCCAATCACTATGGAAATTTGTGTGACAGACCCTAAAATTATTAAAAAATGGATCTACTACATGATCCAGCCACTTTATTCCTACAATCTACCCAAAGGACACAAAAACATTAACTGGAAAGGAAACCTACATTCCTATGTTTATTGTAGAACCATATGCTATTGCTAAGGCATGGGAAAAACCTAAATGCCCCAAAACATATGAGTAAATCAAGAAGATGTGGTAGATATATACAATGGAATACTACTCAGAAATCAAAAAAGATAAACTTTTGCATTTGCAGCAACATGGATGGAGCTGGAAGGGATTATGTTCAGTGAAATAAGGAAAGAGAAAAACATCAGATGATTTCACTTACAGGAGGAATAAAGGAAACCAAATAAGGAGTCAGAAAAAAAAGACAAAACTAGCAGGCAAACTAAAGAACTGAGCTATACAGTGGGGAAAGAAGTGAGAGGAGTCAAAAACAAGGAGGGAAGAGGCACAAGAAACTATGGTGATAGTTCATGGGTGGTTAGGTGGTAAGAATTTTATAGGGATTTCACCTAAGGAAAGAAATCAAAACATTAGATAATTATATAAAAGTGAACGATGTAAAAATAAATAGTTGACCAGTGAAATTCAACAATTCTGTGATATTATCTTGGAATTCTCCACTAGAAAGGCAATCTAATTGTTTTCATAGTTTTGGATAGACACTGCATCAGAGGACTATAATTATTTTAACAATAGATTTCTTTTTTTACTACTTGTATTTTATTTGTGTTTAAGAGTTTCAGAAACTTTTTAGTAGGCTCTTGGCCTATAATGTCAAAGAAAGGAAATTTGAGTGGCTTAAAAGTTAAAATCTTGCCTACCAGGCTACTTAAAAATACTGTACAGAAATTAATGCTATATAACACAGAAACTAATATTAATATAAGAATATAAAGACTTCAATGAGAAAAAAAATCACTGTAATGTTACTACTCAAAAAGTTTTAAAGGTTGTCCTATAAATCTCATTATTCTGCTGAGAAGTAAATTTTAAATAAAACTACCAAAAAAAACCCCCCAAAAACCTACCATAAGCTTCTGTCTTTAGAACAAGTAAATACTTCATAATCTGTTTATTACTGTCAAGGTAATATTTATCACATTTTGGTTTTATGTCTAACTTACTAAATGATTTGGATTTAGAGATTAGAAAAGCAAAATTTCACCTTAAATGGCACTTTATAATGGAATATGAAGTATTTAATAGCATTTTCTTTCACTGGAAAAGTCCACTTTAATAAAAACAGGTCCAACAATATAAGAGTTGAATTCAGGAAAGCCTTTTTAAAGTCATTTCCTTTGAAAAATTTAAATATGAAACTAAAATTAAACAAGCAAAGAGAAAAGGGAAGAAAAACAAAAGCGTGATGTCTTGATTCATCTATTATGCAAACATGAGTGTTTGCAAATAAATACAAACACAGGATCACAAATTTATCAGACAATGCTAAATGATGTTTAGCATCAGCAGCTAACCACTGACAGAAATGCGGATTCCAGTGACACACAATAGCTAGTCTAATTTTTTAAATAACAAATTCTATTAACTCATCTAATAATTCCCTCTAATGAAATTACCTGCTTAAAAAACAGGTTTTATAGTACATTTGACAGTTATTTTCAACACATACAATAAACTAATAGCCTATTTACATATATAATTCAAAGTTACATGAGTAAATTATATGCATATATCTGTATCTGTATTATGAATAAATAAAAGCATACAGTGATATATCAATAGATATATAAAATTAGTGGTTTAATGGCTCATCTGAGGACCCTGCAGGATTAAAATACAATAAACAATCTAATATGTCAACGAACCCAGAG